AGCGCAGTTAGGGTTCCCCAAACGCGCGCTAACGGAAGTTTCGTTGGAAAATAAGCGTCCATCATGCGTGCGTGAATGGGTTTTATTTTCCGCCGAAAGTGTAGACAAAGTTTGTCGAAAAAGGAAAACAGTGTTTTCACTTGTGTGTGAGTGACACTAGACATACTTTGCCGTGCAGCTTTCGGCTTGGAGTTGGATCTGTGATCCAAAAAGTTTTTGTCCCACCCACCACACCCTGTATAGTATGCGGGGTCCGGGACACCGCTTCGGCAGCAGAGCTGCCAGGAGCAGCGCTCCTATGTTTTCTCCCGCAGAGAGACGTCAGCACAGAGTGCGCTTTTGTACATAGGCCGTAGGCCGTGCAACTACAGAGTAGCAACTGGTAGCTGCAGTGACCCAGTAGGTCCTAGCATGTTTCACTGTATCTCCCCGTGGTACGGGTTTTTCCCTGGTAGGGGGGGTGAACCAGTCGTTCGCCTTACCATCGACCAGCGGTCGAGTTTTGGACTGAAATGCCAGTGGCATCGTTTCGTCAGTGCCCGAAGATCGGGCCCGAACTGACCCCCCATGTCCGCTAGGAGAAAAAAAGAGAGTGTTTTGCACAGGGTTCCTCTGCAGCGCAGTTAGGGTTCCCCAAACGCGCGCTAACGGAAGTTTCGTTGGAAAATAAAAAACAGTTTCTCTTCCACTTGCCAAAGCGGCAGGAGCTAAAAGCATCCACGGACATCATCCCAGAACTGAAAAGCATGGGCTGCGCTTGTGCTTCCATCCGAACATACATACACCCTCGAGCCACATCGACATGCGACACCTCCATTTTGCATACTGCCATTGCATCCTTGTCTTCGATTTGCAAAGCTTGCCGCGGAAGCTTGTAGTTTGCTGGTCGCTGGGAAGTGACAGTGAAAACGAATACAGAAGTCAAAGCGGCACTTTTCAAAGAATTATCAGAGATGTCGGATTCTGTCTGCTGCGGGATCATGCAAGGAGCAGCCCGAAAATCGAAATCATCCAGTGCAGCAAGCGAGACATCGGAACCATCTGGACCGGGGTTCAAGTGATGCTGCAAGCAACGCAAAGCTTCCCGGTCCTCGGCTTGCAGCCGTGGACCTAAAGATGTAGGTTTCCAGGATGGGGCTGGGGACGAGCCTCAGCAGTGTTGTGAGTCCGAGTCCGAGGGCATGTTGGCACATGAAGAACAGCTCCAAGCTGATGATCATGAAGACTTGCCATCTCGTTGCGACAGCAGTGACAGCAGCTCTAGCTCGAGCTCCAGCTGTTTCTGTGTGGTTTTGATTGCTTTTCTGTTGTTTTGGCTGATTTTCTATGGTTTTGGGTGGTTTTGTACCATTTTGGATGTTCTTGCTATTTTTATGTGGTTTGGAGCTTTCTGAGACATGGTGCTTTTTGTGCTTGCTCAAAACTGTTTTACATTTGTATTCTAACGCATGATGTTTCATCCTTGTTGCTCATCTAGCCGCAAAGCTGCTCGAGCAGAGAAGGGTCAAGAAAGGCATCATGCATGTCTGTGTGCTTCTTGGTTTGTCGACGACTCATGAGTCTTGGTCATTTTATGTAAGACATTGTATCTACATTCACTTTCCATTGAACTTGCTTAGGTAGCGAGTTGGTATCCTCAAAGGGGGGTCTCGCATGGCGGAGCCCTCGTCCGGTGCAGCAAGCCCGGCCAGTGATCCTCCGAGTTCGTCGGTTAGCACAGTATCAGAGATCTCTCGCCACGTGTTTGACTTGCAGATTCAGTTGAATTATTTGCGAGAGCAGAATCAGATCTTAACCGATACGCAAGCATATCTTGAAGAAAGGATCCAGTCACTTGAGTCCTCGCGCGAGGTTTCAGACAGACGCCTCAGTTGGTTGGAGCAGTTCATACAACATCTGCGTTCGATCTTTAGCCAGCTTCGAGACAACTTGTGATTCATGGCACTTGTTTTGCTTGAAAAGGTGTTGCAGGCTAGGCAACATGCAGCTCCAGCTGCAAATGTTCTTGCGGTGCCAGATGAGAATTCACAGGTGGCGGCTCCATTGCCGTTTGTTCCTGAAACACAGGACAGTGCTACGGCTACCACGCCTTGGGCCCGGCGTGCTGCTCGTCTTCTCAAGCGTGATGCTTCTGCTGTTGAGGCAGTTTCCGTGGTAGATTCGAATGCAGGCGATCAGGCTGCCCTCGTGCCGGCTGTGGCACCAAGTGTGTCTTCATTTGATTTGGATTCCTTCGAGTGGGTTTTGTCTGATGAAGTAATGGCACCAGAGCGCATTTTCTCAAGTAAGGGTTTATGGGTTTCGGATAAGCCTGCACCCCGTCCCGTACTCATGCAACCCTTGAAGCGCACAAAGATTCCTCTGCCGGCCCAGGGTGTACGTCCTACTAGTCTTGCATCCCTTCGACCGTGTATGCGGCCGACAATGTTGCACCATGTTAGTTCGGAAGGTCTTGGGTTTAGTCCTGCTCCCCGTCCCGCGATGCATGCATCACCGGCATCCAGGTCCTTGTTCCATCACGAGCGCTCGGTTGCAGCAGATCCCCAACCTCAGGCTAGTGCATTTGTCAGGCCGACATGCAAGCGTGCCCTTCGCCCGCCTCAGCAGCATTCATTTCTTGAGCACCCAGCAGGACGTGAGGCAATGAGCAGTGGCATTTTTCATGCAGGGACGAATTTTAGGCCTACTAAGGGCAGTGGGACTGTGGAGTTTGCAGTGCAGCATGATGCCAAGAAGCTTCAGTTGGCTCAGGCTTTATGGTTGGAACTCAAGCCGATTCTCTTGGATCATTCTGATGTGCTCCTTCAGATGTCGAGCTCCACGAATGAGCTTTTGCTTACTGAAAAGTTCTTCAACACTTTGGCGCCTTCCACACTCTTGCGGTACATGACGGCAGTCTTAGCGGTTTTTAGGGCAGGGTTTGAGCTTGATTTGCCAGCAATTGATCAGCTTAATCAGGCGCAATTGGTTGATATGCTTTGGGCGACCCACCGGGGGCACTCGGCAGCCGACTTTCAGCCCGTCAACACCATCAAAGCCCTTCGATGGTTCCGTCGGATGCTCAATTTGCACCTTCCTGATCTTTACAATGGGCTCGTGGCCATGTTGCTGGCCCCTCGAGTTCAACCACATAGAGAATCATATCCGGTTCCGATCAGATTGATGTCATATTGTGAGGTGATGCTCTTGGAGGCTCAGATGTCTTTGCAGGACAGGTGTCACGCGGGTGCTTTGCTCTTGTGTGCACACGCCTCCTTGAGGTGGTCGGATTCCCAGCGCATTCGGTGGTCATCCTTCGAAGTGTGTGCCGATTGCATTAGGGCAGAGGCCTTCAAGACCAAAACCACGCGCAAGGGCATGCCGCTGGCAGCGGGGGTTATGGGTTTCCATGGTACTGCGGATATTTTGGAGTTCACTTGGGTTTCAGCTTGGCTAGTTGCGCTTGGTGAAGTCTGGCATCGATTGCGCGATATGCATGGCGACAGCATTGATCCTGACTGTGTCTGGTTTCGGTTCGACGAGGCGACAGGTGATTTTGCGCCCTTATCCTACGCACAGTCGCTGCGAGTGCTGCGATCTTGGTGCGTGGCATCCGGTGCTTGCGCCACTGGGGCGGAGTCAGTCTTCACTCTGCATTCCTTGAAGTCGGCTTTGCTGTATCTTATGCACCTTCGGGCAGTGGGGAAGGAGGATAGACTCTCAGCGGGGCATCATCGCCTCGACAGCGCTTCATTATATAGCAGATCAGACACTGTGGGGGCGCTCAGAGCTCAGGCCGTTGTCTGCACAGCAGTACGGGCCGGATGGCTGCCTCCTGCCCCGCAGAAGCGGGGGGCAGCTCATTCGATTCCTCAGCAACCGTTGTGCACCTTAGAAGCCGTGCCGCCTTTTTTTGAGGTTCCGCCCATTTTCGGTCCAGTGCATGTTTCTGTACCGGAGAATGCAGCAGGAGCGCATGTGCCTTCCGTGGCGGTCGAGCAGGCGCTGCTTCCGCAGGCCACTGCCGACGTCCAGCCTTCGCAGGCGGAAGATAATGCATTCTTGAACGAGCATGCTTTGGTGTCTTCAGATTCGGAATCAGCAGCAGAATCTTTGGGCGCTCCCGAGGAGTTTGGTTACTTGGTGAGCGGTTCAGGTGTCATGCATGTGGCCATGCCTTCATCCCATGGCACTCCTTGCAAGGCAGGTCTCGTGCGTCCAGCTTGTGGCACGTTGTGCAAGAATCTTCAACTGTCCATGTCTTTCGCACCCGGGTCCAGGCTATGCCGTCATCCAGCTTGCCATAAAATTTTTGCATCGGCCGGCTGACAAGCTGCTTCAGTTGTGCACACAGTGTTGCCCTGGGGTTTTTGGCTTCTTTTCGGCTGGCTATGAGATAAGTGGGTTGCCAGAGTCGGCACGGTATCAGTGGTGGGGGCTCGGGCCCTGGACACCTTCAGGGCGGTATGCCCGTGTGTTATCCCGTCTTGGGATATGGCATACAGCCGGTGGGGGCATTGCCCTGGACACCGCGCTGGGGTTTCGGGTGGCTGTTCTGGTGGGGACTGAAGTCCTGGACACCAGTGGTGGGGACTGAAGTCCTGGACACCAGCCTCGCATCGCAGATCATGTGTGCCAAATCGGCATAACTCCTTGGTTGCGTGCTCATAAGGCGTTGCAACGCTTGTAGCTGGCAGTTTTGTCGAAGATTCGATCTCTGGGCTATCGGACATGCCAAAAGAACGCTCTATGCACGGTCGTCGCTCAAGGTAGTCGCTGTGTGTGCTGCCATGTCTCATGCGTTAGATGTCTCAGGTTAGGTGACTGTGCTGCGAGTGACTGTTGTTCAAAGAACATCAACAGGAAGGTTGTTGGCTCAGCTGGTCATGGTAGGACATGTTGTGCTTTTTCAAGTCATACCACGAAGTTTCTTCTGTAACTTGTGTGAGCGCTTCCGAAGTGATTGTGTTTCCATTGCGTTTAGCTTCCACGTTCGGTAAATACACTTTCTAGAAAAGAGCATGGCGCTATCGGAACCCAACCCCTTCTTGGATCTCTCAGAGGAAGCCGCTGAACAGGCCAGCCCGATGCGGGCCTTGTTGGAAGGCTCGGGCATCCCGGAGTCTCTTTGGAAAGATGTGGCTGTGTTTGCCATGAGTTCGGGTCTCTTTCTGATGCAGAAATTCAGGAATTCTTAGATGGCCTCACGTACCCATCTCAGCCATCCGATCTGTTGGTAAAGGCCAGGATTCGCCTCTTGTGGCGGAAATGCCAAAAGTCGGGGGCACCCTTGCAACATGATCCTCCCAAGCCCAATCCCGTGGGGAGCACAGGTGCGCTTGCCGATCAGGCCTCATGGTCTGAGGCATTCCCGAAGCGTCTCAGTGGCGAGGCAGTCCGCCAAATGATAAAGGCTTTCAGTGAGAAGTACCCTTCGGAACCATTAAGCCCCGAGATAATGCCATCACCACGACTTCTGTCATTGGTTCATCAGCAATTGCAGGATCGCCGTTGGCGATGGATACCGTGGAAGTTGCGGTTGTCAGAAGAACAATATGACTCTAAGTCTCTTGAGCGTTCCCTTAAGGCCCCACGGCTTGAAAATCTGTTGTGGGAAGAGATACCCAGCAGAGAGTTGCCCACACAGGGCATGGCTAAGAGTGTTATGGCAGAACTGCTTCATTTGCAGGCAGTGGCGATTGCGCTAGCAGACGGCGCCCATCTCTACACCCTGCGGGAGATGAACCGTAAATTTCTTGTCAAGTGTTTCGATCATTTGCCTCGGGATGGGGGGTTGCGAGTTCCAAACAGATTGGAGGCCGAGAACGCAGAGAAACAGCTTTGGCAACAGATCGCGGTCTTGTTCAATGAAGAGAACTGGACGATGGATCAGGCAATACGCGAGGTTGTCGTGGCTCGCAACGAGCTTCACGTTCTGCTCATGCCGAGGGCCGTCGCACCAAAAATTCCATGGCAACCGTGGACGCCGCATCGCATCAAAGGCGATGGCAAGCAGGGGAACCTCGGCAAGGGTGGCAAAGGGGATAAGGGCAATAAGGGCGGTTCTAAGGATGGCAAAGGTTCTCAGCGTCATACCTTGATGATCAATGGCCTGCGAGTGGGTACCTCATGGATGCAAGGCAAGAACAAACGCCTTCTGTGTTCCGGGTTTCAGCAGGGCAAGTGTACTCGCGAGCAGTGCAAGTTTGAACATGTGTGTGGGGTGATTTTGCCAAACAATCGCATGTGTCTCGGGGATCACAGTCCGGCTGAGCACAAGCAAACGCCCCACTGACAGGCGGGGTGCATGTCTCAGCCCCTGGTGTCGCCCCAATCGGGCGTTGTTCTTGCGGACGAAGACATGTCGGTCTTACATGCGGCTGAGGCATGTGAACCCATGCACACTGGCCACACTGTTTGCTTTGAGCCACAATCTGATGCTGAGGAGTCCAATTTTGTTTTCTCTGGTTTTCCACAATGTGCTTCGTCAGGTAGTGCCCTGACCACGTTTTCTGAAGTCCCACCGGGGCACGCAGCAGTGGATGCTCCGAGCCCTGTGTTGAATGCCACATGTGCCGCCGTGGCAGACCCGTCGTCGGCCGTTTCAGCTGCATGTGACACAATCTTGAGCATTTTGCAATCTGTGGATTGGCCGCCGTGCCATACAGCAAGGGCTGTCTTGCAACCGCGTGACAATGATGACACCGGTTACTGGAATTTTGGGGTTAGGCCCTCAGAACCCACTGTCCTTACTTCCATCACCCAAGATAAACCCAACATAGTTCGCCGTTTGAATGCCTTGTTTAAGGTTCTTTGGCCGGATCATTTTTGGAATGCGATTTGTATAAATCTCAACCGTGTAGCTAGCCTTCACCAGGACTTAGCAAACAGTGAGGGCTCCATGAATTTGAACGTCTCCGTTGGGGACTTTCAGGGGGGTGCTTTGTGGCTGGAATCAGCAACAGGCACTTTGTGGCGCCAGCCACCAGGTAGCCAGCACTGGGTGAAGGGCGAAGAAGTTCAGACTTTTCGTAATCCCGTTGCTTTTCCAGCGTGTGCCTGGCATGAAACCATGCCATTCGTGGGTACTAGATGGTCCATCACTTGCTACACGTTGCCCCATGTGCCAGCGGGTACATTAGCCAATCTTGGTTTTCCGGAGGTATCTCCGGAGCAACTTCCTCGTGTATCGCAGTCACAGGAGTCAGCTGCCGCATCCGCGGTTCATGCCAATGAGCCAATCTCAGCCCTGCCACCGGTGGTGGCCACACAGCGGCACCCTCTTTTCTTCTTGGATCTTTTCGCCGGTGCAGGTGCACCACTCTGTCAGGAGGCCGCACGTCGGGGTTGGGCGTGTATTCCCATAGATATTCTACATAACAAGGCATCAGACTTACGTGATGATCGCATCTTCGATGGCCTCTTGAAGCTTTCCCACTCAGGTGCAGTAGCGTTTGCAAACGCATCCCCTCCTTGCTGCGAATACAGCATTGTGAAGCAGTTTGATGGCGGACCGCCACCCTGCCGATCATGGGAATGCTTGGCAGGCTTTCCCTCCAACAATGAAGCAGCCCAGGAGCGTGTTCGATCCAGCCACCTTCTGTTATCTCGGGCAGTCATGCTCTTGCACGCTGTATATCAGAGTGGCAATCACGTAAGCTTAGAACAACCCCGTAACTCTATGGCTTGGGCTGAGCCCGTGACTCAGGCTTTCCTTCTGGAAATTGCGGCGGATGTGATTCAGGTTGCAGCCTGCAGTTACGGTTCGAGCTATGCAAAGTACTGGGCCTTCGCCACAAGTTGGCGACCTTTGCAGCAATTGCAAAGTACTTGCCAGCACGATGCGGGTCATCATGATGCGTTTCACGGTAAACGTGACGCCGCAGGCCAGTTCGTGTCTCGGCATACGGCGGTGTTCCCTCCCATGCTGTGCAATGCGTTCATGGAGGCCATTAGCCCGTTATTCCCAGAGAACTCACATGCTACTGACTTCACGTCCTTGGATCAGGCACTTTCTGCATTGCCAATTCGCCCCTTGAACGATTTCCCGACTGGCCAGCAGGATGGTGGCGGCATTTACAGCCAGCCCGACTGGACTTCTCCTCCGGCGGGGTCGAAGGATACTTTCCGCCAGTTGCGTCAAGATATGTGGGGGTTTTTCAAAGAGCATAAACTTTTTGATCGCCTTCGCAGACATGTCAGCCAGTCATCGCAAGAGCCTCTCATTCAGCAGCATGAGCTCCCTGCATTGCGATCGATTTGGGAAGATTGGTTTAGAGCCCAGGGCTTCACGGATTCAGTTTCATGGGAGGTCGCGCCCGACCAGCCTTACTGTCTTCAGGCACTTGAGCTTCTGAGCAAGGCTCTTGACGACCGTGATGTGGAGCTTTGGAAGGACTTGCAGGCTGGGGTGCCAACGGGTGTTGATGGTGACATTTCTATGAGCAACTGTTTCTTGCCTACCCCAGCGCATTTCGATCCAGAAGATTTTGATGTGCAAGTGTGTTCGGGCAACTGGCCTGGGGCCAATGAGGAGCCAGAATTGCTGGCAGAACTTGTGCAAAAAGAGGTGGACAAGGGCTACGTGCACGTCTTCGACTCTCTCGAAGAAGCCCAAGCCAAATGGCCCCGGGTCGCTGTAGGCAAAGTAAATGTAGTGAAAAGTGGTTCTAGAGATCCTCGCTTAATTGTCGACCCATCGGTTAGTGGGGTTAACCCTAGCTGCCACCTGCCTGAGCGCTTTCTTCTCCCCGGTCTCGGTGACATCCGGGCAGTGTATCCCCTGAGGGGTGTGTCGGGCTGTATAGCCGCATGCACATTAGACATACAGGCAGCCCACAAAACCGTTCGGATTCGGGCGAGTGAACAAGGATTGCTTGGTTTTTGTGTGAACGGGAAATACTATTTTTATAAAGTGGCACCATTTGGAGGTTCTTTTTCAGCGTTGTGGTGGCAACGCGTAGCGGGCTTTTATGTTCGCACCGGCCATCGCCTGATCTTCATCAGCCACGTCCTACTTATGTACGTGGACGACGCATTACTCCTTCAGCACAGTTCCGCCATCGAATTTTCCGCGCTCCTTATGGTGGCATTCCCACAATCATTTGGATACCCGATCAGTTGGCGTAAGCTCCAGTTGGGGCCCAAGCTGGAATACATTGGACGGCAGCTTAATTTCCGTGCAGGCACGTTTTGTCTGCCTGATGCTAAGGTGGCCAAACTTTTGCAAAGCCTGATGCAAGTGCTCCGGTCCGACCCTTGCACCAAGCGGGATTTGCAGGCTCTCATCGGTCTCCTTCACTGGATACTACAGATGTCGCCAGAGTTGCTACCGTGGCTGTGCTGCTTGTACCACGACATGTCTCGTCCCTTGGGCACAAATTTTTCTTTGCATGCAGGCGCCTGGCAACAGCTAGCAGATACCTTGACGGATGACTTGCATTTCCGCAAATCGCCACCAGGGTCGACCATTCCCCCGGGCAGCAAGTTGTTGAGTGCTCGACATGTGGAAATCAAGTGCAAAGCAGACTTGCGCTTGGTGCGGGCCACAGGCAAACGTGTCTGGATTCGTGTGGCGGATGCATCATCTAGCAAGCGTCGAATCAGCACGGTGAGCAGACAGTTCATCATGTTCTGGGTGCACTTTTGCATGCGGCCTCAGATGCCCCGCTGCTTGTCTTTGCCGCCTTTGGACTTTCAATATTCTTTAGCTGCTGACGCTTGTGCTAAGGGCAACGACATTGGGATTGGTGGATGGGTTGAATTGCCGAATCAGCCCATTGTTTGGTTTTCCGAATGGTTTACGGTCCAAGATTTCCGTGCGCTGGGATTGCCCATGAAAGATGATGCTAATTTGGACATTACAGCGTCTGAGACGCTGGCACAACTGGCTCTCCTGATCGCTTTCATTTCCATCACTCCTACTGGGCGACTTCGGGTATGCATCCCATCTTGGTCGGATAATTCGGGGACCGAGTCCTTGACGAACAAGCTGTTCACAGTACATACACCGCTGTGTTTCTTTGCTCAGAAACTGGCTACGCGGAGTTGGCAGTCTGGAATCTCTCTCGATTGTACACACATCGCGGGATGTCACAATGATAGAGCTGATTTCTTGAGCAGGTGGAAAGGCGACTTGCAGGAACTTCCTTCTCGGTTCATCTCGGATCACCGGGTTCGTTGCCCACTCACAGTCTTGTGGGAGGGCGAGCGAGATGTTCGCATTTTCCCGCCAGATGCTAACTTGCTTTGGCAACCGCCTGTCTCGTCCTTCAATGCACACAGCGTGTGAGCACTCGGCATCGGGCAGGTTCAACATCTCACGGTGCGCGGTCGGCCTGGCCTTCCCCCGTGGGCTCTTGGGGCTCCTGCAACACCGGTGTTGATGTGCATCATCGTCGGGGTTCGACACTCACGGCGCGCGGTCGGCTTGCCTTCCCCCGTGAGCACATGCGTTCCCCTGAGGGCGGTGTTGTGAGATGCAGAACATGCATCAGTGAACGCGATAGGCATGAGTGGCAGGCAACTTGGTCTGCTTGCATACGCAGGGCGTCACTGATAGTTGAGTACTTTATGCTTCTCATATACCTTGCTTTCTCTTCAACCGTATGCGGTGACGTTTCTTTGGGCGGAATGCCCACTCAGGTTCTGTCGGCCTCACGTTTCGGTAGTGGGAGTGCAGCGCTTGCGAGTCCGACCTCTCCTTTGTGGCAGTTTACAGTCCTGGTGTTCGTACACATTCTTGCATCTGCATTTGACATTATGCTGCTGCACGAAGTGTCTTACCGCCAAAAAGGAGAGGATCGAACTGCAACGTGATACACGTGATGTGAATATGTTTATATATGAATTATAGAAATTTGTGAGAGTATACTTTGCGGCTAGATGAAATGTAGAACGCTTTTTGTGCTTGCTCAAAACTGTTTTACATTTGTATTCTAACGCATGATGTTTCATCCTTGTTGCTCATCTAGCCGCAAAGCTGCTCGAGCAGAGAAGGGTCAAGAAAGGCCCCGCCCGCCCGCCCTGTGTGGTGTGGCACTTGCGTTATGCATGTCTTACGGTGCATAGTCAAGACACCAGTGCATTGTACATTGTCTGTACATTGAAGTGCGGACATTGAATGCATACGACTTCCGGCGTACATCCTGTGGTATCTTTGGCTATCTCAATACTTGTTTTATGGTCCTTGCTTTTGGTACTCTTACACTTCCGCAGCCGGTGTTCGTACACATTCTTGCATCTGCATTTGACATTATGCTGCTGCACGAAGTGTCTTACCGCCAAAAAGGAGAGGATCGAACTGCAACGTGATACACGTGATGTGAATATGTTTATATATGAATTATAGAAATTTGTGAGAGTATACTTTGCGGCTAGATGAAATGTAGAACCTTGTGGTCCGGAGCATATACCAGGCATCATATGAGGAGCCAGACATGAACGATTCTCCACGACACTGCACGACGCTCGCACGACACTCGCACGATACAGCACGACGCTTGAACGATACAGCACGACGCTTGCACGACACAGCGCGACGCTTTGAACGACACTGAACGATGCTGCACGACGCTTGAACGACACTGCACGATGTTGCACGACGCTTGAACGATGCTGCACGATGTTGCACGATGCTTGAACGATGTTGCACGATGTTCCAACGACACTCGAACGATGTTGCACGACATTTGCACGAAGGTTGCACGAGATTGAAGGGAGGGCAGCCCAAAGCAGTTGGTTTTGGAGCCAAATGAAGGTGATTTATTGGATTCTCAACGAAAACAGGTGCCAAATATTCATTTCCTAGCATTCCAGACCCAAAATTGCTTTTGGGCATGCTTAGTTCAGTTGCGGGGGCCTCCGGCCTCGTGTCTGTCATTTGGGCCTTTTGGCTTGTCGGGCCGCCGCGGGGCCCTGGGCAGCACATAATCACTAAGTACAAACGGAATCCTGCTGTCGAGTGCGTCTGCCGTCTGAGTCTGAGAGTCTGAGTCGAGTTGTTGGTCGGGTTCGGTCGGGAGAGTCGGCGTCAAGTGGAGTTGTTTCTTGGGGTGGTCCAAATGTCCAACCTGGGTTGGGGCCCTGGGCTTGGGCCAGCTGCACTAGGCCTGGGCCTGGTCGCTGGTCCGGGCAGGGCAGGGGAGTTCTTTTCGGCTTTTGCACTGAATGAAGGCTGCCATGCTGTGAAACCGAACTCATGATCGAACCCCGAACAGCCTAGACTCGAAACATCATGCTGGATTAAGCTGCTGAAGCGTCAGCTCCCAAATCTCCATGTCCTCACAGTCCTCACATCTCTTGTGCAACCAATGTGACCCATATGAGCTGTATCCATGACAGGACAATGAATCAATGAACTTGAATCCACGCACAAACAGAGAAAAGAAGGCAGTCAAATCGGGAGGCACAGGGCACAGGGCGGGGTTAAGGGGCGGGTTCCGGAGCTTTGCTCCACAAACAGAAATCAGCCATATGCAGCAACAGGACAACTGGGCACATGCTCATAAATCCAGGAATATTCAGTGTAGGCATGCAGTTGACTGACTCCATGCTGTTGTTGCAAGATGTTGCCGCAGTCATGTATGATGATCCAAGACTGACATGCGTGCTTTGTGCTGAGTGTTGCAGCTGCATTGAAGATTGAAGTGTGGCACTGACAGACAGTCATCGCTTCGCATTTGGCATACGGTCCCTGGAGCAGAGCTTCAAGCCATGAAGATTTGTTTGCTTTCTCGCCCGTCGAACAGAGGTTCACAGTCAGAGGCTGGATATACCCAGTGTAGGAGCAAAGCTGTCAAGCCTTGAACATGCAGGAGTGCAGAGGTGCCACATGCCTTTGCGTTGGCAACACTGACAAGATCCAAATGTCCCAAGCTCTGAACGGATGCAGAATTTTCAAGCAGAGCAAAGTGCTAGCTTTGTGGGCGTGTGTGTGTGTGTGTGCTTGTGCATGCCATGACGTCTCCGGAACCGAAACATGTTGAGGCCGTCGACAGTGATCATGGTGGGTTTGAATTTGCTGAGATGTCTAGCCCTTCGAAAAGGTCTGCCACAGATAGTGACTTTTCACGAAATCCTTCGACGGAACAGTTGCAGTTGCAGGAATCCGAGGCTGCAAGCTTGGCAGGCTCACCTGCCCCGAGAAAAGAGCGGAAGCTGTCCGGTCGCACTGCCCAGGCAGCTGCGAAGCAAAGTTTCCCTCCAGGCTTTGCAACAGTGGAATCTTTAGAGCAGTGGCCGACAGAGCTGCTGCTACGCATCTTTGGCAAAGAGCAAGGAGACGCTGGCTTCCACCGTCGACGGAGGCTTGAGGCTTCGTTGCAGCACGGCCTGGTGCTGCACACAGATTTCAGTGGCAAAGGGTCCGTGGAGCAGATGCTACGCATGTTTGATGTGGCGGCCAAGGACTGCTCAGTCGAGAATTCGGGAAAGTTTTGGGGTTTTGCATTTCGGTTTCAGTACCGCGAGAGTAGCCACTTTCGTCGCGACAGTAGGAGTTCTTCAGGCCTCTCTATGCTAGTATGTCAAAGTCTGCTCGGTTGAGAAATATACTGCTACACAGACATGTATACCAATGGCAGCAGCACCACTCACACGAGGCTATGATTCATGATTCATGACGCAGGAACACGGGGTGAGCTGACAAGAGAGCAAACATCGTGGTTTGCAAAGTGCAAAGCAATGATACAAGCATGGGCTGCTGTAGTAGGACACGGCTGTATCTGTGACATTGAGGAACTACAGAGCATGTTGTTCAGAACCAGAAAGTCAGGAGTGTGGATGCCCTTGCACCGTCCTTCCAATTCTACTTTCACGTAATTTTGTTGCTGGCGTAAAACCGTACGACCTGACACGTGCGAGCCGCAGTTGTGCTGACGGCAGAAAATAAGTCAGAGTCAGAGCCGGAAAGTGGAGTGACCTTGCTTCTGCCCCCTTCTAGTGAATGTCCAGTTTTGCAGGAGCGGCGTGTGCGTCTTCAAGATGTCTGGTTCCGCTGCTTCCAGGCCAATGACATCCAGAAGGAGGCTCTGGATGCCTTGGTGGATCAGTCTGTGGAGTCGCCAGAGCATGTGTTTAAGGGTCTCCTCGAAACATTGCCACAGTCGGAACAGGCGAGAATTAAGAGTTTGAGGCCTGAGCCGAGGGCTCGAAAGGAGCAGGCGGAAGCTTGCCATCGTGCTCAGTTGCAGTACATCTCTGCTTCGCGCAAGACCCTGTTTGCAGGCTCAGCAAGCAATTGCATCAGGCATCCGGGCAAGTGTTGTCCACTATATTTCCCGGATCCCATGGGTGTGGACGTGCAGACCCCTCCTTTGAAAGTGAATTTTTCGGGTCCGATGTGCTCGCCCTTCACATCACACGGGCTTCAGCTGGGCTTTGCAGATCCCAGCATCGAGTCGCTGAATGTTTGGTTAGCCAAGATGTGCGAGAGTCCCATGGATTTGGTTTTCTTTGAAAATTCCGACCGGTTTCCATGGAGCCTCTTCGTGGAAGCCATGTCGGCAGAGACACACTGGGAGTGTCATCGATGCGTTTTTGGAGCGGAGGACAGGGGCCGGGGCAAAGTATAGTGAATAGTAATAGTGAAACAGCCTTGACAACTAGATCTGCAAAATACCAAACTCATTGACACAACTGAGATTGACCGACCTGCTTACACAATTACACAATCTTCAGCTCGCTCTGAGCAACTGTGTGAGTGCATCATTGAATCATTGTTCATTGTTTGGTCCATGATTTTGGTGTCATCGGCTGCCTGTCGCATTGCCAGGAGCTGGGACTTCCGGTGCTGCGGAGACGTACATACGGAGTGGCAATCAATCGGAAATCACTGGTGTGGCTTGGTTCTGAACAGCCGGACGTCACACAAGAGTTTCTCAGCATCTTTGGTCGAAGCCCAGCATTAGATGGAGATGCATATGCAGGCCTGGATTCTCTTGAATCCATCCAAGAGACACGTGCTGAGCGGAGGCGAGGCATCTACGGTTCAGCAGACGACATTGCACTGTCTGCGCTCTTCACGAAAGCTGCGCAGGAGAGGTTCAACAAGGCAGCCTCGCAGTACGAGTCACGGATGAAATCAGGTGACGCCGGTGCCTTCATCTTCGATGCCTCTCAAAGTGAGAACCGCAGCAGAATCAACCAGCTGCTTCCAGCAGCTACCAAGACATGCATGTTTGTGTCTTTGTCGAAGGAGCACATTTTCACACAGAATGAAGTCGATTTTTCCATGGGCTGGCCAGTGCTGGGGACTGCTTCATGCCCTCAGTATGCTCCTGTACTTCCGCGAAGCTTGTCGCAGCAGAGTCATCATATGAGGCGGCGTCTGAGTGGCAATGGTATGTGCTTGCAGCAGGTCTTTGCCTGGTTTCTGTTTGTGCAATCCCACTGTGCTCGAAAGCAGTTGTTGTTGCAGTGGGTGCCGCCGCTTCTTGATGAATGCCACTACGGCTGCGACCTTGACAAGCGTCAGCAGAAGTCGGGCCAGAAGGAGGATTCGGCAGCACCAGCCGATCAGCCCGCTGAGCCGGACGCATTGCATCGGATGCAGGCAGCCTTTCGTAAAGCAGCGGAAGAGAAGCATGGAGGCCATGGTGACGGTGAAGCCGTACAGAATGGTCCTTTTGACTGACGGTGAAAAGCCGAATCTGAAGCACTGAGGCCGTGCCACCCAACTTTGTGCCCACGTCTTTGCAGGCCACAGGATGCATGTAAGCATTATACATGTTTCATGTCTCGGTTCATGTGATAGTGTGACACTTGGTCACTACATCCTATGTACTGTCGTCCCGAAGCTTCTTACACCTTGCCCGTGTGGCCGTGATTTTGCTGTACAGTGCTCAGAGTCTCAGAGCGCATGGTATGGTTCCATGCATATGAGTGCCAGAGCAGCTCACGTTTGTGTACGTGTGACTGCCGAACTTTTGCAGTTTGCATCCTTCAGTCTCTATCTCGTTTCTCCACCTTCGGAAAGCACACGGCAAACGAGAGTGCCTCAACTGCTGAAGCAGTGCGAGCTTCGCGAGAGCATGCTTTGATTCATGCATGCTTTCACTGAAGAAGTGTTGACACCGTTTGGGACATGACCTGGACTACAATGCTAAAGGCAGCTCCATGCACAAAAACCGTGCATGGGTCCCGCCTCGCCGTTCATTTAAACTTTTAAAACCTAAACGGGGTGTGGGACCCGGCCCTAGAAAAATGGGACCCGGGTGGACCCAGGTGGGACCCGGATGGGACCCGGTGGGACCCGGTGGGACCCGGATTCGATCTGGCTAGCAAAGTATGGGACACGTGACAACCAGATGAAACTTCTTGTGTGGGAAACATGGGACCCGGTGACACCCGGATAAGACCCGGCGAGCAAAAAAACGGGATTCGGTGACGCAGAAGGTGGGACTTGGATGGGCCCGGTGGGACCCGGTTGGGACTCCTCGCAAAAAGCGGGACCTTGTGACCGCTCAGATGATGTGGCCTCAAAACCACACGTTGATGTGGCTTGAGAACCACACGTTAAGTGGCCTTGATGTGGCTTCAAAACCACATGTTTGTGGCTTATGTGGCTTCAAAGCCACACGTTTGTGGCCCGGATGTATTAAAGGGGTCACCAGAAGCCTCGGACCTGAACGAACACGTGGGCTGCCTTTCTTCTTTCTTTACTACAGAGAATTCTAAGCCGGAGCTGGCTCCAAGTCCACTTGCTGGAGCTAGAAAAAGGCTTCAACAAGCTTCGATGATCTTGCAAGCTATTGGCTATTGCTGACTCCATAGAGCCATAGATCTTGGCAATCCTAGACAGGAGCTTCGATGATCGTGTCGCAGCGATGCATCCTAATAAACGTCAAAGATCTCGATTGGCTTAAAAAGATCCTCGAGATACCTCGATGACATTGCAAACTGACACTGATCTCCAGTGGATATAGAAGCAGGATGAGCCCAAGAAATGATGCTGCGGACGACCCCGTTTCTGGGCCCACGAAACGAAAGCAATTCTGGCTTCGCCACAATGGGCCTCCCCAGTAGAAGCACTGAAGCAGACATGCTCTCAGGCATATTCCAAGAGCAATGCACGTTCAAGAGGCCATTGGTTCACGGAGTTCTGCATTCACAACGATTATCGCACTTCATGGCTGCATCATGTCTCGTGTGAAAAAAAAAAAAGTTCTCACCGGACGTTTGCAAGGGTACCTTTCGGCTTTTGCTTCCGAAATCGGATCGCACCGTACGTGGTCGGGTCGCCAAACCATCAGCGGCCAAGAAGTACCTGAGTGATCTGAAGTCTTAGAGGTGCGGAGTGCTCCAACCCCTGGATTGTTTAAGTCTTTGCTTTGGTGCAAGACTTTGGTGCCTACTTGGCTCAAGACTGGAACTGCGCGGAGAGTGAAGCAAAACGTCTTCTGTCCGAGTGTTGTGTTGGAGTTTAAGGTTGATAGATTTTAAAAGGCTTGAAAAAGGCGCACAGTTTGCGCAAACTGCATTTGCAGATTACACATGGCGAAATTGAAGGGTGTTTTTTTTGGATTTTTTTTTTTTAAGCTCCACGCTTGGTCCAGCTTGATTTCCACGCCGGCATGTTTCTTTCCAACGGTCTTGCAACGATTTGAAACTCCTTTTTTTATTTCCGCTGTACGGTTGAAACCGAGCACGAGAACATCTGTGGTTCGAACTACCTCCGTCTGGCTGGCGTTCGTCTTCTGCAGCAGGTTCAAATTTGCCACAAGGCCGGCTCGGTTCAAGTCTAAGCTTCATCTATAATTCCAACATTTGAATCCATTGCAGCCGCGTTTGTCGCATGTTTCGACAAAACAGTGTTGCAAACACTTCGCGTCCATCGAACGTACAAGCCAGAAAATTCGCTTTGTTTTTTCAGCACGGTTGCTTGGATCTGTTGAAAACGAACGGTGACCAAAAAAGTGGCCTTCGCTGTCATTCCATTCTTTCCTTCGAAGTTCCACTCTTGAAACCTGGTGCCTCACTGGAGCCATTCTGGAACGTCCTGAAGGCGTCCAGAGATGCGAAAATTGTAATTTTTGTCCAGACGCAATTGTTCCTAAGACACGGACCCAAATCAGAATGTTTCGAAGATGTGCAGATTAATACATTCGATTTTGATAAATGCGATTTGCGTTGAGGTCATGGATTTTAAGGTGCAATGTTTTATGTCTTTGTTGTTCAACAATGAGAATGTTCAGAAAATGTTTTCGACATCCAAAGTTTGGAGACATTTCATGTTTTGTAATGAAGCATGTTTTTCATGTAGTTCGAGCCGGTGAGCAATCTATTGGTTTTTATATGGAATCAAATTACAAATTTTCGGTTTTTTGTATTTCTACCGAGGTTGATGGTTTGATTCGATATTCATATTGAACTGACATAAATGACGATATCGTAGCTGCACTTCGCATCGCGTCAAGGTTATTTTTTTCGAATCGAAGATATGTTTTGTTCGAAATAGCGTGTACCTGGACACCAGACGACCTGAAAGTCAGACAAATACTTCCAGGATTTATATAATTTGATTTGTATCCGTCGCCGACAAAATCCATTGGTTGCACTGAAACATTGTGGCAACAAGAATCGAAACTTGTGGCTTGAATTTTATCCTGTTGTCGATCCATAATTCGCATTCCATACTGCTACATTGACGATGCCAAGTTTTTGCTCTTAAGAAAAAATTTTCGGCAGATTTTACAAACCCCTTTTTTGCTTCAGAATCCTGGATGATTCTACCATTCAACACACGTTGACCGACATTCCAAGCCGCGATATTGCATTTCAGACGTGCAGTCTTGCAAAGTTCCGAACTTTTCAAAACCGTGACCCATCGTTTCTCCTCTTCCTCGTCTTTACTCCAGGTGTTATCCCATCGGCAACTTTTCAGTAGGCATGACCGCCACTGTTTTGGCACCGGGTTCACTAATCGGCAAACAGTATTTTCAGTTCATGTTCCGAACACCGAAGCTCTCATTTTGGTTGATGTGGTTTTCCTGGAAGTTTTGCATACGACCATTGGCTCGATCTTGAGTTCCTTCCGAATCATGGTAGATAGGCTTACAACTGCTAGCAGTCGTGTTGCATGTCCTGCTGCGATGACGCGGAGGCTTGTCAGAGCATATGCATTTGTCAGGACAAACAACAACCGAACACATTGTGCTTTTTGACAAACACGTGTTTTGTTGAGTTGTTGCCGAGGTCGAGCAGAGCCAAGAGACAATTGCGCTAGTCAAGGCACCAAGACTGCTTTGATTATGTGTGATGGAACACACTCACAGTGTTCAGCTGTGTTCTCATGAGCATTCACGCTACTTTGTTCTCGATAATTTCGACAGCATAGTTTCGCCTTTGTTTGTGACTCTTTCCTCGAATAGTGTTGGAACCCCACATAAAAGAAAGCAGTGATATTTAAAATTTGTTATTGAAGGATGGATATGTGCATTGTAGCGGAGTCACCAAGCTGCATTCTGCAAGTAACTGACAGGGAAGCGTTGTGCTCCTCTTTCGCTAGGCTTCACTGGGCTACGTTGCGCTGCTGTGGCACTCATGCCAAACCGTGCTGTCCCATATTTCCGTGCTGTGATGCCGAGCTATGGTTGTAAGGAATGTATGGTGATTTCTTGGACATTTTCAATTTTCAGCTGAACATATGCATATGTCTGCCTGTATATATACACATCTCCCCATCTTTGCGTACACAGTATTATAGGTATACAGGGACAGCGAGAGAGTGAGAGAGAGCGAGAGAGAGCGATACGAATTTGAATGTCGGATGAATATGACCATGAATGTCAATAAATACAGATGCAGACATAGAGTTAGTCGCGGATACATACATATGCACATTTAATTTACACAAATACATACATGCATCGACAGTCCGTGCTTGAGTGTGCGTGTGTGTGTGTGTGGGTGTGTTTTTCGTGGTGTGGCTGTGGCTGTATGGTGTTCTGCTTACATTTGCATCCGCTTATGTCTGTCAAAATGTTATGAGAATGTGCTTCCACAGGCAACAGAATCGCACACCATCGTCGACCACGAGGCCACCTTGTTTTTAAGCCTCATGCCTCGGTTGATGGCGAAGGTCTTGGTTTTGATTGCCTGTGCAGAAGAAAGTCAGGATGACGCCTCCATGGTCCGAGTTGCTTCTGATGCTGACGTGAGCGTCACATCCAGCGTAAGAGAGGCGTGGACTTGTCCCGGTTGTTGTTATGCAACATGGCACGGGCGCCTTGCACACGACGGCTCCGCGATAGCGCAGGCCGAACTGCTGACCAGGCCGGGGGCCATGATTCTTCCTCTGCTTTGTGGCGTGACATTGCGTTTGCTTCGCTGTTGATGGCAGCATGTCGCCAACACGCATGCTCGGCTTCGGCTGGTATCCAGGCTCTCTGCAAAGGCTGTCGATGCACACTGGCGTGTGAGCCGTAAAGAGCTTGTCATGAAACAAGAGTGCCAGCCTCAGGCGCATCTTCGCCTCGTAGTCGCAGCACGCACACCTGCCATCCCAAGGCTCAGCAAAACTTTGAAGAGCACTCTGTTTCTGGCGGCGTGGAGAGGTACAGAGGCAACGTGAGCAAGATTCGGCAATGTGCTGCATGTGACCCTTCGCATGCTTGGGGTGTCTTCGCATGAACA